AATTCCCATCAAACTGACATAGTTGAATTGCCTGTTTGGTCCAACTATTAGTCCAAATAACCAATAATAAATCCATAATAATCATTTCAGCATTAAATATATGCTACAAAATAAAAAGATCAGCCCATATCATGGCTCTCATGCCTGTATTTTAACGTATATCATTTGAAAGTGCATATGAAGTTCATGTATGGAGTTTCCTCTTTAGGAGTTCCTTTTTAGTTCAGTGACAAGTAGAAAAGAATGAAGTTAATTGTGTAGATATCCATTTGCTTTCATGTCACGTCAGTCATGTTTTGCTATTTACTACAGGGAGAACGTCAGCCTCATAACATCTGTACCACTGAAGATTAAATCGTTGGAAATGAAAGAGGGAAAAGGTAAGATGTTCTGTAGCATGTTGTAGTTTTTTTGTTAAAGGGACATTGTGTAGTTTTTTAAGTATTTTATGAGCTAAAATCAATGTCTTCATTCATAAATGTGTCCTCATTGGTGTAAAATTACCTCTGCCAATGATCTGACTTATTCTCGTAAGCGAAGAATTTCTTATCTGTATATACATTGGACGGGCAAGTCCATGGAGGCTTCCATGTCGTTCCGCAATTTTGAAAAACCATAATCGCCGAGAGGGACATAAAGCTCTAGCCTACCTGTCTAGGTAATCCACACCGCGTTTTCGTTCAGAGCCAGCATCACGTGACTGAAACCAGCTATAACGGAGAAGGAGATCAGTGAGAGGCGCTTGTTACTGCCCCGGCACATTTGAAAGTCTGCACTGCACTTTAGTTAATAATGGATGATCATACTTATGCCGAGCCACAGGAAAAGGAATCCTCGTCGCCAAAAAAGCGAATTAAAAGGGCAACGTGACTGGCGAATTCAAAAAACGAGGGTAAACATCGGGGTAGCTTTTCCCGGGTGGAAAGAGCTAATGAAGGATAAAGAATTCAAAGGGACACTTAAGTTGCCTGCTTTCTCCTCGACAGGTAGGCTTCTTGGTACATAACGGCTACCATAGTTGCAATACGCATTTGAAAACGTGAGGCACTAGAGAGCACTATTCGTTTGAATGCAAAATACAATTTCACCGCTAGATGGGAGAAATTCCTACACAGTGTCCCTTAAATGTATAATGGGTGGCGGCACAGAAATGTTAGAAAACAGTAAAAAAAAAAAAAAAAGGCTTTGATTGTTGGTGTTGTCAGTCCAACCCCCAAAGATATTCAGTTTACAATGAGGTTAGACTGAGAAGCTGCATATTATCATATTTGAAAAACTGTGCAAATAATGTCACTTTGACTAATGGGTTAACCAACTTGGGCACAGCAAATACATGCACAGAACAGTTGAATCATGTGCTACCTCGCCAAAGCACAACAGAGAAGAGGGTAAAAAAATCCTCTTGCTTGTATCATAAGAGACAACAATGTGTTTGAGGTTTTGCTTGTCTACACATTCGTTAGTGTTTGTATAATTTCCTAAGCAATAACTTAGATAACAAACACAGCCCAGCCTCATATCCGGTTCAGGATGAAAACACACCCTCTCCATTATAAGGAACCCTGATTCAGAAGGCTGCAGTATAATATCATATGTTATGTTTCCAGGGAGGGACTTGAGTGTCCACATAATGCAGCGTAAAATCTGTAGAACGTCCCTGTGGTGGTGTTAATTGATCATGTGGTCTCCACTCCCTCGCTGTCTCACACTTTGAGTGGCCATGATTTACTAGCAGCTTTACAGCAGTATTAGATTACAGTTGTTGCAATGTAACAAGACCATACACACACATAGACATTTAAAAATAGATATTCAGCTGTGCTCTTCTGCAGTGTGCTATTGATTGTCAGTGCTGAAGCAGCATCAGGCATGTTCAGTGGAAATACTTGGTTATGGATGCCTCTGGCCTCAGGAAGATTGTGGATAAGATGTGCATTGTGCATTAAATAGTCTGATGTATGTAGCGTTGAATGCCTTTTAATCTGATCTAAGCCGTAATCTGAACTCTCCGAAGCACAGTTGAACCAAGCGTAGTGCAGAAGCTGATGTGATGCTGGATCCTCTTAAACGCATCAGCCTTCATCTGCTGCCCCTCTCTCTCTCTCAGCTTCTATCTCTGTCTTTCTTGTATTCTTTTGTTCTTATCTGAGTATCTCTCCCCTCTTTTCTGTGCACCCTCCTGTTGTGTTTTTTGCTTTCATGCATCAGTGTGTGTGTGTGTGTGTGTGTGTGTGTGTGTGTGTGTGTGTGAGTGGTTGGGTGTGTTATTAACTGATGTGTATTTGAATTTACAGCATTTCCTTTCTTCTTTCAAACCATCTGCTCAGAAGGGGAGTAGGTAGTTTAGAAAGCTGTTTAGAAAGCGGTTCAGAGGAGGTGCTAACAAATGTGGTCTCTCTCCTATGTGTACCCGTCACCAGGATAACCTCATGCACTATGTAGACATGAGAGGCCCTAGGAGCACGTGAAGATGTCCCAGAAGGCAACTAAAAGTAAGCTGTTTCGCTGTGATTTGTACATTTTTTTTTATCTGATGTTAACGCTTTTTCTGATTTGCTGTGGGCATATAGCAGATTGCTTGAATGGGACTTTTCTCTCTCTTGATATTCAGTAAAGCACTAATCTGATGTGAGTGTTCACATGCAAAGATGAGAGGATTATGGACCACAATGCACTTTGTCACAGATTAACAATGAGATTTTCATTGGATTACCTGTGCTCACAGTTAGTTTTGTTTAAAATCAGCAGAATGTTGACTTTGAGGTCACTCATTGAAATAATTTACAACCTTCAATGTAAAATGACACAGTACATCAACATACTGTGTTAATGCTTAACATCTACTATTACAGTTGGCAACAACAGTCTTGTTGCTGTACGAAATTTTTTTTCGTGTTGTATGGGTCACATGGCAGTCCCAAAATGGCTTACACACTAGGGTGGCCATTTCCTTCACATCAAAAAAGAGGACACTTTGCATACACAGGGACACACAAGCAGATATTTGTTTGGTATGATCCAGTTTTAAATTGAAATGTTTTTCCACCAGATTATATAAAGGTGCATACACATACCACATAGCTAATAATAAATATACAAGATACAGCTCATGACAACGTGCCCTTCCAATTCAGATTACATAGGTCTAATAAATATCATACAGAAACTGTTCTTAATGTTTTTATCTGGATAGATAAAGGGTAAAAAAAATACAGCACCTTCAGTATGAGCATTTTCAGAATTTCAGTCCAACAACCGACGTTAGCTCACGTTACGTTCTCTGTCGCTGAGAGCTTGATTGACAGCCTGGTGGTAACCTAGCAACTGAGGTGATCTTGGCGAATCAACACATTGCTCATTTGAATATTAAATTTAGCCATGTGTTGATAGGTCACCACACGAAAATGTAACCAATGAAATTACTTATTTTGACACACATTTTTAGCCAATAAGTATGAAACTAACGAGGTAATGTGTCAAAAGGCGAACCTTTTTGTTATTTTCTCAAAAGGAGGACAAATGAGTGTCCGACTTAAGGCTACGCCTGCAGCCGGACAGGGCATTTAAAAGCCGGACTGGCCACCCTATTACACACGCCCCCTAAACTCAGCCCGCAAGACATGGATGACAATTGGTAAGCGCGTGTATCATGACCAGACAAACAATACAGTCTCTTAGACCCATACGGCAAACCCAACAGGAGGTCGGCCATTTTGAAATTTTGAATTTCAGTGATTTTTTTTATTGGATTGTACATCTGATTTGGTCAGTGCAGTCTAAAGACGTTCGTGATGTGCATCGAATGGCGTATATGTGCCGTCGCGTCGAATAATGACACTTCGCCAAGAAACAGGAAGTTGTCATAACTTCAGTGTACTTTGTCCAATCTCACCGAAACTTCACATGTCTGATAAGAGTCCTGCCCTGAAAACATTTATGTACCATTAATCCGTCATTGTCAGAGCGCCACCTACTGGAAACAGATGACACATAACGCAACCCCAGAGCGCCCTGACGTGCGCGGACTGCAAGGGCCCGATCATTGCAGCTTGCTGCTTTAAGTGTGTCTGCTCTTTTCCAGTCTTTTTGCCAAGCTAAGCTAACCAGCTGCTGACTGCAGCTTCATATTTAGTGTACACCAGGGTGGTATCAATCTTCTTAACTAACTCTTGGAAAGAAAGTAAATAAAATTGTCCCGTCCCGCTGTAGTCGGAAAGGTTGCTGCAAGCTTAAAATATTGGATCACACATAAATATGAATTCATGGAGGTAAATGTACTTCTCACAGTGACTGTCAAATTTCAAAAGCATACCACTGATATTAGGCTTTATACATGGTCTGTTTTCCCAGGACAGACATTCATAGTGTGTGTAGTATCTATAAATGGAAGAAATAGAGACGGTGAGTGTCTTGAAGATGATTTAATGCCGATGTGGTTACACTTCCTGTCTTTGAACAGCTCATTATGGGGTTTCCCAAAACTCTCAATGCTCTCTCAGTCATATTCTCTCACTCACTCACTCTTGATTCAAACCAAATCAAGGTCACAGAACTTGTGATTACAGTGCATATTAAATTTCACTTGGGTGTCTAAAATGTGACTGGTAATTGTAGAAGAACACATGTCTTATTGAATTATTATTAGGTTAATGTGTTTAAATTGAATTTCTTATTTCACTCTCTGTTATCAATCAGAAACCACATTGGGTGTAGTGCTTACTGTAGACTAATGCAGTTGTTTCGAAATAGCATCAGATACCGGAAAGCTATTAATAGTCATTTCAGTTTTATTTTTCAGTACTGATCTTGGTACATCTTGGTGTGTGAAATGAGGTTGAGCTTGAGGTTATTTTACACCACAGTTTCAGTCACTGCAGTGTCCTTCACATGAAAAAAATTAAATGTCACTTTTAAGCCATACTGTGTGGTTGGTGAAATTTGATGATACTGATTTTTAAAACATGTATGTTTGCCTCTGTTTTCGTCCTCTTTGACTCCAGCATGGTGCCTTAGGCTTGTCCCAGTTCTCCTCTTCTTCATCTCCTTTGTCACATACTACTGTTCCTATGCCATACTTCAAAGGTAATTACACACACGCTAACACAACCATTTCTTTCTTCTTTCTTTTCTCAGTTGTCCTGGTATTGAGGTCACACAATTACATAAATGCCCATTTCTGGTAAAAAAAAAAAAAAAAAAAGTAAGCATGAGGTCTGTGCAGTGCTGAGTCAATAAAAATTTAAGAAGACAACCCACATTCTGATCATCCAGTGGTCTGAGCTGCTGGTCAGGTACTCACATATGCCCATTCTTGCACTTTTTGAGTGTTCTGGACCCAGTTACTGGCACACTGTGTTTTTATGGATTCAGCAGCAGTTTTCATGCCAGTTGTGGTGATTGTCTGTGTTTCAGCTACGGAGGCACCAGCAAGTCTCTGAACAGTAGCAAGTCGCTGTGTGGTGGCTGGCTAACCCAGAAGAAGTGGGAGAGCCTTAACTTTAAGTGAGTAATGGCATGTCTGTGTTTTTTTTACAAACTGGAAGGAGTGGATGGCTTAAGGGAGAAAGGTGTGCCAACATTTTTATTTGAACATGAGGTGCCAGGCTTCTTGGAACTGTTAGGATTGCTTCTTCGCAGTCGTGAAGGAAAAGCATATTTTAGTGAGAAAGAACAGGAGTTATTATAAGGAACGACTTTCCATCTAAATCCTCATCATTACCCTATGTTTCAATAACTCAAATGGAATGCGTTGATAAAATGGTTGAGAGGGAGAGCTGATGTAAAACCCATTGTTGGCTAAGAATGAGCTCTTGATAAAGTTGCATTTTTCAGAGCCAGACAATAGCTTGTTTGTTCTCCTCAGGTTCTGCCTTGTTAAATAATCATTGTTCCACAGCCCTGACCCCCCTCTCATTTATTTTCTCTTGCTCTATTATCAGTTTATCCAGCTGTATATTTACTTTTGATCTTTTTGTGGGCTCTGTACTGTTACAAAATAGTGATATGGTCTCCATCTGTGGTTCGTCCCAACCTCCTCCAAGGTCACTGTTTATTTCTTCAGCTCAGTAGACCTTCCACTTTCTGCCCTTTGACCTTTTAAACAGTCAAGATTCATCTCCTCTGTGTTCGATCCTGTAAAAGAACATGACTTGCATTCTCACATGATGTTGCTGGTTGCTTGTTGTTGGATTTTCACATCAGTCATTACAGTCACAGGGAGGCCTTCCAGGCAATCACAGTGACATTTCTCTAATTAGATCCCTCCCTGGAGATTTATCCTGATCTCCTGCGAAGAGCTAGCTGGCACACAAGGGTAATAAATGTCTAAGAGACTCACTGTCAAAGACAGTAGGTCATAAACGGCTGGAGTCTGAAGCCAGCGAACACAGAAGAGCAACAGTTTCACATATTACAACCTGCCACATTTGTCTCACTCCACAGGCTCTGTAACGTTATTGTTTTCTTTTCCCCTCTCCTGAGGAGATAAATACCAACAGCAGGTTTTAATGAGGGAAATTGCTATTGGATGAATGACATCATGTAAATGGCTGGTTTGCTTTTGAGTCTGCTTTACCTACTTAATAGATACCAGTACATTTGGGAAAGTGCACGTCAAGCCTTTCCATGAGCCAGAATGAACTCACTACTGTTTGGCATCACAGTTGGTATTGTCCATTGTGTGCTTCTGGTCCTTCTTCTCACGCCTCATTCATATCCTCCCCTCTCGCCACAAACCTTCCTGTAACATAATTCATCTATACTGTGAAACCCTGTGCGTTGCCGTATTAATGTTATAAATCCTGCTCTGACATTTTTCATGCAGCATTAGCAGACAGACACAGCTCTTTCTGAAACTGGAGGATTTTTTCTGGCGGGAGCATCTGTCAAATCTGGCATTACCTTATGGCATTAAGGGCAGTGGTAGGTTGATTTTACATTATCCTCTGCTCTTTCTGCTCAGTCTACTCAGCATGTCTCACATCTTGGTATTACTGCTTTATGAAGGTGGATGTTTTATCTTTTTTCATATGTACAGTTCAGGTTCACATAACTGAAAATACCTTCACAATATTCTGAGAATTAATTTATGACCATATCTGATGCTTCACTGTTATAAAGGCATTGTGCTTTTATTAAAAGATTACCAGCCTTCATTCTGGACTACGTATCTATTGTAATCCTGGAATTAGATTTCCGACAGCTGAAACACTACACAGCAGTGTTTTATGTGAATTGTACTTCTGTGTTCAACATTTTCAAACGTTTAAAACCTCTGGTTCTTTCTCACTTTCCCTCCCAGAGCTGCTGCTACTGAAAGTCCTGGCTGTAACTGCAAATTATCAGTTGCCAGCCAACATTGAAAAGTAAGTGCAAGCCAACCTGGAACTTTGATATTGAAGGTCAGCGTTTTATTCCTATAACCCAGGTTTGATCTATTAGCCCCTATTGTGTTTGATTTTATTTGACTGATTCCATAGTGCAGAACAATAGTCATTGTACAGTGCTAATAATGCAGGATTGGCACCAACAAATGTAATAACACACACAATTAAAACTACAACAAGAATATTTGTCTAACTTTGTTACTGGTTGAATACATGTTCCTGCTGTGGTACATCCTGTAATATGTGTTTAGTGTTCATGATTACTGTGATTATAGGTACTTATGAGTTAGGGCCACATAACCGTTCCCCATAATCAATAAAGCATCCTCTGGTAATAGTTATGAATAAGTTGTGAGTTATGTTTTTGAGGATGGCATTTGGTTTCTGACTATACAAAACTCATCTCAGGACCTGTGGGAGGGTTGCATGAGCATAAATGTGCCACATTTGAACTGTGTGTGTGTGTGTGTGTGTGTGTGTGTGTGTGTGTGTGTGTGTGTGTGTGTGGTGTTTTTTTCCACAGCCTTGAATGCAGAACCTGTGTAGTCATAGGCAATGGTTTTGCCATTAAAAACAGCTCCTTGGGAGGCATCATCAACAAATATGACGTGGTCATTCGGTAAGCACAAAGGAGAACGTCCTATAAAAGTATTGTTATAAGTACTATGACAGTTGTCATAGTTGTCAGTTGTTGTTATTACTGCTAACTATTTGACATGCTGTACACACCGAAGAGGAAGTACAAGTTTTACAAACTCACTTCACTAAATTTTGATTACACTCCAAGGTGTGCATTTTTAGAATGTGACAGCACTATAATTTAATATCTTACAAAGTTTGACTCAGGTACCTGGTTAGCTCAGTCGGTAGAGCTGGCGACACATGTACGGAGTTGCTGCAGCAGCCCGGGTTTGAATCTGACCTGCGGCCCTTTGCTATGTGTCATCCCCTCTATCTGCCCCCCTTTCCTGTCCATCTTTGGCTGTCACTATAATAAAAGCAAAAAAAAAAAAAAAAAAAAAAACTTCACAAAGTCTGTCTCATTAAAAATAGTGATACAATTTTTAAACCCAAGACTTCTTCATATAACCACCTTCATGTTTCAGGATTGTTAGGACTGAGAAATAATAACAATGAGCCTTGCAAATTGACTGTATAAAGGGAATGTGGTGAAAGAAGGATATGAATTCACTTGGCTGACTAATGATGGACATTATCCGACTGTGTGACCGTTTGACCCTGACACAGAGCCGTTCGCTCAGCAATTAGCAAACTTTTGGGTCAAGTAAAGTTCTCTAATGGAGAAAAGAAAGCATTTAGTTTACACAGGGACAAAGACACTCAGCAAATCTGACTTTACAGCCTTGGAATGAACACATGCATTCTGAGTTTTTATAAGCCTCTTTCAAACAGCCAGAATTTGGCCTGGCCACAATGCATTTTTCTCCCCCCATCAACCCCCTCTCCCTCACATCTCTTCCTCTCTTCTCAGAAGCTAATCGTTCCCTGGCCAAGTAGAGTAAGGTTATTGACATTCAGAATTCAATGCATGCCTGAGACTTTGACGTCATCAGCCTATTTCTGTCATAGAAACACCGTTGGACTCTAATAAAACCTGTCGAGACTTGAGTTTCCAAAGTGCAGACTAATCATTCAACCAAACAAGGTCTCAGTCTCTGTTACTGTGTTAGTTATTTGGTAAAGGAATGAGTTATTATGTGGTTTTTAGAATTTGTTATATTATAAGAGGGATGTTTCCAGAATGAAGCGCATACTGATATTTAAGCCTTACCGTGTGAGTTAGTTGTCCTACTTGCAGCCTTTTTTATTATTTTATTTTATTTACAGTCAGCTCAGGGCATACGTGGAAGGAGAAGAAGGAACTCAGTACAAAAACATCCTGGTTGCTGACTAATGGCACACAACCAACATCAATAGGCTACCAAGACACGACAATCGACATGCACGACTTACTACCGGTTTGGCAGTTATAGTTATTTTATAGTGTTGAAAGCTTTGGGACGCTTGCACTGCTTAGCCCGATAGAAGCCCCAAATACAGCGGAGGTGGGGAGTGCAGCAAAAGACGCAGGTTGAACATTTTGCCCTTTATGCTCAACAACATTTCAAAGGACGTAATGTGACTATGCTTGCGATTAAACAAAAAACTGCAAAAATGGAAATCCTTTAGAACACAAACCTGACAATTCTTGTCCCTGAATGCTGTATTGTGCCCCTGCCTCAGGTTGAATGATGCCCCAGTGAAAGGCTATGAGGAGGACGTAGGAAACAAGACCACCATGAGGTTCTTCTACCCCGAGTCGGCCTCTTACAACCCTGGACTGCACAACGAGCCTGGAACACTTATGGTCATGGTGCCTTTCAAGCAGCAAGATCTACGGTGGCTCAAAGAGATCCTCTATAATGAGAAGAGGGTACAGGATATGTGTGAGAATGCACTCTCTCGCACACAAACACACACGCACACACATACTTTCCATCTCACTTTCTTTCCCTCCCCCTCTGCCTCACATAAACACACTCCTTTTAGCTTCTTTTTTCAGCCCTTGCCAGCCATCCATATCAGGAATAAATACTTAAAAGGTTCAACTTCAGTGATGCCAGTGCCCTTCAGAGTTAAATGTAGTTTCCATCTCAGACACCCTTCACTCTGTTGCTCCCGGCACCTCCGGCCTCCTACTGCTAATAGTTGCAGGGTCATTACTTGCTAATTTGCACATTGATTTAGTTGCCTCCAGACAAGAGGGAGTCATAGGTTCAATCGCATCCCTGTTTGTGCAAATGAACTCAGTGTGCTTACCAAAAATAGGAAATCTGTCACTCCCTCTCTGTCCTTTTCCTGTCATATCCTGTGTCTTATCTTTCGTCCATGTTTATGTGTGCCCTCCAGGTCAGGAAAGGCTTTTGGAAGCCCCCTCCCCAAATCTGGCTTGGTGACGTCAGTAAAATCAGAGTGCTGGATCCCCACTTTCTGCACCAGACTGCCGACAGACTGCTCCGGATCCCTCAGCATCCCAAAAGTAAACAGGTGAGAGATCACTTCCACCTCATTGAAGTCGGAATCATGAAGCTGCAGGCGTGCATATCACAAGAGGTTTTGGTTCAGGTCCACACCAAATTGTTGACCTCAATATCGACCATTTCTGGCATTTTCAGCTGAATTTTCCCAGCAGAACCTTCTCTCTTGTTTGTTCCCTGTCTCTCATACCTCCCTTTTTTCCCTTCTTGCCCTTCGCTACTTCCCACATGAATGTTAACAAGGCTGGATGGAGCATCCACTGATTAGCCACAGCTCCTCGAGTGATATGCTTTGAGCGCTGTGATAAACAGTTACTGCAAGAGGCATTTCTCTTGAAATGTAGCTGGGTCAATAGCAATTTTGCAGATCCAATTACTGCAAAACATGATGAAGATTAGCTTCTGCTTGGCATTCTGGCATCTCATTACAAGATAAGCTCTGCATGTCTTCTGGGCTGCACAGTGAATCTCTGGGAAATAATTGGCTTTTGAAGGAAAGCCAAAATAGTGTGTAAATATAACCAGATGCTCTGTTTTTAGGAAAAAGCACAGTTTCCAGTGTTTCCAAGCTGATTATTACTGTTTTCTCCGAAAAAAGGTCTGGATTTTGTGACCGCAACTGTTTTTTCATGAGGTCAAGGTTTAGGTTATCTTCACTGAGCATGTTTTGTTACTTTTGGCTCAAAGAAACAAATATGAAATAAAAGGGTAAAGTAAAGGAATGAAAAACAACAACAAACAAAAGTGAAAACATAACCGTAAACTAACTCACAAAACTACAACCAAAGAGCTGCGATTTTGCAATGAGAAAACATAATGCGTGACATTTTTCGCTGTGTACCATTGATCTGTTTTTGTTCCACATATTGGACCTCAACTCCCTCTTTGGCTGAGGCGATTGGATTTTGAAACACCCTGTGATTTGACTTGGACTATTACTCATGTAGAATGAAGCTTTTATTGGCCCATTGTAACCCATCTGCCATGTGTGGCTTGTTGTGTGTTTGGTGGGGATTGTCTCTGAAATGGGCCTGAGCCAAGTTTTGTTTTGGTTCTGCTTGTTCCCCTCTTCTGAGCCCTTTTTTGTCAAAGAGTGGGTGTGTTGCCCTTTTGGACTGTAGTACAAACAGAACTGGCTGGTGCATGAAAAGAGTGAGCAGTGGGGAAGGCAGCGACCCTACAGGCGATCAGTGGGCTCGCCCGACAAGAGCTCTGCGCCATCTGCACAGACTGTATGGAGAGGGCCGGGGGAAGAGGATGGTGAGCAGGAAAAGAAGGAGAAAGATGGAGGGAAGTACAGACAGTTACATGTTGCTTCTGAAACTGATTTGACTTAATGCAGTGCTGCAAATATATATATTTACCCTGATTTAACATCCTTAACCCGCTAGATTTCCCTTATCTTGTCTTATTCTGTCTTTTTCCTATTTTCTGTCCTCGGCTATTCCTCCTCTGCTAAATGACAGCAGGAGTCCTGACTGTAGCGCACACACACACACACACACACACACACACACACACACACACACACAGGCACACAGGCAAAAACCTGTGCTCTCGCACATGTAACCGTGTCTCTCTTTTCTCCTCTTTCCTTCTCTTTTTTGCTTTGCAGACACGCTTGCACACACACATAACTCTAATGTTCACCCACCTCCCCAAACACAGGCTTGTGTTGAGCCCTTGTAGATCTGGCTTGCAGTGGTGACAGTATGTAGCCCCCCTCTCACCAAGGCTCCATGGGCCTAAGTCCAAACTATGTGCCGGACCGCTGCAGAGCTCTGGTGTTCGCCCATGTGCTGGCGACCACATGAGGCTAATACACACAGAATGTCAGCTGTGTCCCATTGCGGGGGGAATTAAAGAAAAAAAAGTCCTGCTCAGTGCAATAGCGAATTTAGAGAGGAAAGAAGAGTGCAGGGAAGAAGTTTTGTTTCAGTTTCTTATCAAATGGAAAATGGAATATACTGATGTAGCGCTTCTGACCTCTCAAAGCACTTTACACTACATGCCACATACTCCCATTCGCACACATTCATACACTGATGGCAGAGGCTGCTATGCAAGGTGTAAAATACTACAAAAATGGAAAAATACTTCCTAAGCCACAACTTCCTCAAGGCTATTATTGTCATGGTATTTATCTATCACTGCAGTCGACATATGTTGCACATCTGTTTACACACACTTTTATTTGGTGAAATTTAACCATTAATAACCATGTCCTCGTGCTCTTTCTTCACGCGTTTCTCATCAGGGAGTTAGTTAGTAGAGAACCTATCTCTCAGCCATCTGAGAGCCATTGCACACTTATGATCTCAGCTTTTTGAAACTGTGCTTTGAAGAAGGTCTTGTAGAATGAAAACCACTATGAAAGGTCTAATAATTGTTATTTGCATATTTACAACACTGCTAATATTTCTGTCTCAAGTAGGACGCTGAAAATCTCTATTCAAATGCAGCTTTAGGCATGACAGATACACCAGTATGCCAAAATACCAAGCACAATGCGCGCAGACACACACACACACACACACACACACACACACACACACACACACACACACATATATGCTTGCCTATATGTACACATTCCAGAATATACAGTTTCTTGTCAGCGAGGCCTAAAGCAATAGTTTGATATTTTGGGAAATACAATTTGCTTTCTTGCTGAGAATTCAATGAGAAGACTGATACCGCTCTCGTATCTGTCTGTTAATATGAAGCTACTGTACAGCCAGAAGCCAGTTTCAGTTAAGCTTAGCTTAGCATAAAGACAAGAAACAAGGGGAAACAGCTAGCCTGGCTCTGTTCAAAGGTTAAATTTGCCTACCAACAGTGACCTTGCATGTAATGTCCTGCAAAACCACAACAACAGATTAAACAAATGAGATACAATGTGTTAATTACTGAGCTTTAGGAAGAGGAAATGTGGGAGGACATTGTAAACTCTGGTACGTGCGACAGAAATTTCTCTGTAGGGCTGTCACAGAGGAAACTAGATGATTGCATGGAAAGCTGTAGAGGAGAGACGTTTGATAGAGCGGTTGGGAAAGTGCAGCATTTTGGAGAGGGAGTGGAAAGAAAAAGTTTCTTCTGTCTCACGGCCATGTGGGAATGATTCTTCTTCTTGCCTCTGTGAACATGGATAATCATTGACAGAGTCATACGGGAAATGGCAAACAACAGAGGGAAATATCTGTGCACAGTAAGAGCCCACCAGGGACAACACAACAAAACACGTCTCAACTCATTAAATCTCACATTAGTTTTGTTTTCAAAATGATGTCGGAGAGGTCAGATAATGTCACTTTGTTTTCTTTTTTCTTTTTTTTCTTTTCTTTTGCAAAGGCAGATCACAAGTGGCAGGCAAGGAAGCTGCAGAAAAATTTATTTTAGCACTATTTTTAGGACAAAGATTTCTTTTGTGTAGGGCTACACAGGACATTGCAATTTTCTTCTCAATAGAAATAAAGCATTTTGACACAGACATGGAACATTGGATACAGGCAGAGGAGGATGACATGCAACAAAGGCCCCTAGCTGGAATCAAAGCGGGGTATTCACAATTCCAGGATGCCCTTTAAGAGAGAGTTTGTATATTATGCCTTTATATTGCTATTCCGATTAATCCCTTCGTAAGAGAGTTGGTATGATGTTGTGCAATAGTGCGACCAGCTAACATGTACAGTGCCAATAAATTAATAAATAGGTCACTCATAGTTCACTGGTGTTATTAGTTTGACATCATAAATTAAATACAGATCACCTGTTTGTATGAATGAGGGGGGAAGAAATCACTATCCAGATGCCCAGACCTCCCCACATCAACTCTAGGCGGTCAGTGGTGCCCAAAGTGCTTCTGCTTAATATTGACTACTTTATTGTAATTAGCGAAGGGGGTGAATACTGCTCATATGTAGCAAAAGCAGCAGCTTTAGTTCCGCAACAAGCAAAAAGTCAAATCAGAGTCAACTGAGAGTATCAGTGTGTCTGGGATTGTGTGTCCGTGTTTTGTGTCTGAGTCCCCCCTTAAAAATGAGGTGCACATCTCAAAGGGCTCATCCTCAGATTTAACTTATCGATAAAACAAGTGTAATTGACTGTTGAAGGTGGTTGAAGATCACTTGAGTCTTGGTTTGGACTATTAAAATTGCTATCAAAATGTACCCTGCAATTCCTTGTCAGAGATCTAGTTTTAGCTATGAAATGTGTTTGTTCCATCCATTGATGAAGAAACACTGTTTGTCATTTGCATCACAAATGACACATACTGTATTTGCCATGGATAAAGCCAACGCAACCCCCCTAAAAAAAAAAAAAGACTGAATCAAACAGAGCAAAATAGCTGAGGTTCTTTTGTGAGTCTTAGGCTCCTTTCAGTAAGGGCAGGGTAATCCATTGTATCAGTTGCTGCACTACGAGAACAAAAGCACCAGAACTTTTTTTTTCTTTTTCTGGTGTCCAAGTCTATTCCAGTAACATTTTAAGAAACAGAATTTGTATACATTTGGTGATGTTAAAGCAATTTCTCAAGGATTTTGCTCAAAAACCCTCAAATGGAAAATTAGTCTGAAGTTACTGGCATCAAAGTAGTGAGTAAGCTTCTGGAATCAATCAAGTTTGCAGGGTGAGACTTGCTAATGTGCAAGTAACGCTTCTGTAATGCAACTAAGACCTTCGGGGTACAGGTAGTGCTGTGTTAGTGATGATACCGCTGTGGTGCACAGATCAGCAGTGGCTGCATTAAAACAGCAAAGTGCTCACAAGTTGTCTCTGAGCTGCAAGGCATTACATTTTGATAATGAGTATGTACAGAAGGGGTGAGGGTTTAGTAAGGGGTCAGCAGCTAAAGATTAAAATATGAGGATTATATTGAATCATTTGAATAGGTCTACCTCACAAGGTTGAGCCCACTATTGTACAGCTCACACCACATTACATGTTTTAGATTACATGACATTAATTTTGCAGATTCTAAAAGCGACGTAGAAGAGGTGCATTCAAGCTCAAGAGCTAGATGTCGTAAGTTACAGGAGGTTCATGACAATTAATGTTGAGTTTATGATATAATGATGATAGTAATCTGGAACATGGAGAAAGGCTTGTGTTTGATTACCTACAAGGAAAGGTCAAAAGCAGCAGTTTCTGTTGCCCTCTGTTACCATCTAGTGGTGAAATGGGAGGCTGTAGTTGAGTCGTAGTAAACCTGTCTGCTTCAAGAGTGTGAAACACTGAACTCTAGCTTTCACTTCACAACAATGCAACAAAAAGCATTTTGCCTTTTTTACATAAATGCTCATTTCTTATATTTGTCTAGCAAAGGTTGTGCGAGTGCATGTAGATTTAGCACACCTTGTATTTCATATCACAGCATGCTTAATATGCCTGTAGTTTTCAATATGTTAAAGCCCCTGTGAGTATATTTTTTATGTGATTCTGATGGCATATTGTTTTGTTTGTAGAAAAATGACAAAATCCCAGTGGAATTTGGTGCAGTTTCAATGTTGCTTTAAGCTCATGTCTGAAATTTTCAAATCTTACACATTTTACAGGGGATTTAAAAAGTTTGTCAGGAGACACTAAATTATTGCAGTAGGCTGTCATTAAGTTTTGTTTGTTCCAGAAGCCAGTGCATCCTACCACGGGTATCCTCGCTGTGTTTGTAGCTCTTAACTACTGTGATGTGGTCCACGTAGCCGGTTTTGGATACCCTAACTCAAAGAGCCAAAGGCACCCTATCCATTACTATGGATATGACACCATGAAGTCTATGAAGGTGGGTAGCAGTCATCTACAGTAGTTCAAACGTCCTCTATGGTATAACATAAACTCTGATAAAGCGTTTAATTCTCTGGATACTGATGCTCCCTATTCTCTCTGTTGCAGAATTCCTACCATGACCTCAATCATGAAGCTGAAGCCTTAAAAAGACTGGAGGATTCAGGAGCCATTTTATACCTGCACCCACATTTATGATACACACACTTTTCCAGTCGATTTAATCCCAAAAAATACTAAACACCAAATCATATTTGAATTTGGACGGGTCACCCGATCCAGATTACATCCTAATGTGCCTTCTGCAGTGAGATACAAGACATTTTGTTGGTGCATTAAATCATAAGTGTCATAGATCAAGCTCTGATGAATGTTTATTTACTTGGCACCTTATATTCTGTACAACTGAAAGACCAGAAAAGTGATTTAACTGCTTTTTAAACAGCTTTTCTTCGATTTGCCATGTAGAATAACCTTGGCTAAGCACTAACGATTAAAGGTTACTGCGTAACGATTAAAGGTGTGTAACATTTCTGGGTTTTGAATCATGACTAAAATTTAGTTTACACTAACTGTACACGTGGTGACCCAGTTACATCAGATTATGTGGGATATTGGATAGTTCCAATGCTCTGATGTTGTTTTTAAGGCTGTGTAATAACGTGGGTTTATGAATGCCACATCGTAGGAATTAAGCATTTCAGATATACTGTTTGAATGTTTTTTGTTTTCTGTCCAGAGATTCAATGCCTATCACTAAGATGTAAAACTAATCAACCCGGATTATTTCTTGCTGTAAACACTCACTGTGGTTTAAGATTCATTTTCAGTTTTATAAATTCAGTTTTTTCTTATGAACTAAAAATCAGCTTTAAGGTGAAGGGTGTGTTAGAATCTATGGGGATTTTTTGAGAACTGTACTTTCAATGTCTTTTAGTTTCAATGAAAGGAAAATGACCTGATTACAAACCTGATTTACACAGTTAGCTGGATTAGGGTGACGTTTCTTTTAGATTTCTTGGACTGGAAATACTATTTGTATTTTGCTCATTGTTTTAATTCACATCAGTTGTCTTTGTTTTTTAATTTATTTAATCTTTTTGTTTTTCAAAACTTTACTGGTAAATGGTACCACTGGATATTTTTTATTGTACAGAATTAAATAAAATTTTAATAAAGAGGAAATCAAAATGAATCTCATTTGATTTTAATTTAACATCCATATAATTAAAATGTTTTGTCATTTATTGACCACAACAGACTTGTGTATCTGTTGTATGGAAATCACTTTATTTGCAGCAGTCCTGATTGAACCTGCATTGAGTCGTTAATAATATCACAGTCACCACTAGATGGCAGAGAGCCTCTACTGCATGCATACTATACAATACGCACTCTACTGCACTGCACATGGTGCAGTCATGCAGCAGCCCATCTTAAAGTGCCTGGAGGTAATGGTAACAACAAAACTAGCACCAGCACACGTTAGGGAACACATGTACAGTAAGAACATATGGAAGACCAGAACATTGCACAATGCTAATAACTGAGATTGACTCACATGCATGTGCCACTAGCGACAGATGTTAGTGATGGTTACTCTCTGTATGCACGGCTCTCTATTAGAGTTGACATGAATGGACTTGTGCCCTTGGCATTTATAAACTAGGCTTACTCATATGGTGGTACAACATCAGCTGTGACAGAGTCCAGTTCATCAACTGAGCTCAGAATGTAGGTAGATATGTGTTGTGCCTTCAATCGTAGGGATGTAAAGTAAATCATTTGTACTAATACTACTACTACTACTACTCCTGTATTAATAATAGTGGAAGCTTACTTATATTGAACTACATTCCTGATTTACTGGTGTGAATGTGATCTTTTATTAAGGTCAAATCTCAAGTGATGCACACTTGAGTGCAGTGTTTTGAATAATGATGCAGATCTGCTCAAGGTCAGGCTGTGAGAAAGGTACTTTGTACTGTAAGTTAGATGTACTGTGCTGGTGTCTGCTACTATACTAGCAGAAGCCATTGCACTACAGCAACTATGAAGGGTTTTTACTACCATGTAATAATTCTACTATTGTTCATTAGCACAGCTGTGTGTTCTGTTCTGCCCAAATCTGTGTGTTTTGCCTGCATATTGCTGATATGGAGGACAATCCTGTTTGCAGCAGGGTAGAGACCACAGTCATACGCCTACCCTCATATTCAGTTCACTAGAATTGTCAATTGTTGGCGCTAACTGATTTTCTTGCCACTGAAACCCAATCTGACAGAAAACAAAACATCCTTTTCAGCCCACTTGAAGCTCATCATTTCAGCTCTGAGAGCCATCCATTATGTGTGGAGGGGGTATTGTCTCATACTGTAAAACCATCAATTTTCACCCCTTCCTCATGCATTCAGACATGTTTAAAAAAGCACACAAGTTCCACATTATTCCATGTTTCTCCTCATGTGTACAAAAACCTAAACCCTCTTTCCAGTATCATCTCTTCAGATTACATGAAATCAGATGGACAGTTTATTTGCATTTGTTTTCCCAACAACGCTGTGGAAGTGTTGAAAAAAGAGCCCCATCACTTCACACTTGATGGGCCATGTTCACTTCCCTTAGTTACACAACAGGGAGTTACATCATTAAACAGGACTTTGAATCTGCGGGCTGTTTATATGACAACTGAAAATCAGGTCAGACTTTTCAGGAGGATTTCTGTTGTACTGTAAGCACACCTTTGAACCCCTAGGTCCAGAGTGTGCTTCAGTATGCTACAGAACGAACATGTTATGTACAATGTTGTTAGCCAAAGCATCTTACGGTACAGTGAGTATATATATTTTTAGCCTGGGTGTCTCCCGTGTGAATTAAACTCCTAACTGTGGCACTGATCCCACTGTGGTAGACCAACTGAGCCCTATAAGCCCATTTATCCATGTTATGGTGTAGGCTACCAAATGATCCCATGCATGCGCTATACAATAAGATTCATTTGAAATGCATAGCTTTGAACTTTTAGGCAGACCCCCAGTACACATCGAATGACTGCACTGGTTGTAATTTTACAATGCAGCAATTTCATAGAAAAATACATGGTCCATGATGATTGCTGTGCCACTGTGTAAGTGCAGTCTTATGCAGGCAGAAGCTCTGACCGTGTGATTGTTATTACGATATATCTCATTACGCCATCTGCTCTCTGCACAGCGCTCTTACTTTGCCGGTGCAACATTTTACTTTGAGGCAGTTGTTTTCTACTTGGAAGTCATGACCCTCTGATATATCACATAATGATTTTGCAGACTCTGCACATCAATGCAGCAAAAGTGTATTAGGTTTGTATTGCATTTTATAACAGGCTGAAAAATAAAAATACAATGAAAGTGAAAAAAATACCACATCTCATATGCAAGTGGGGGCTTGCACTAACTAAACACTTTATTTTAGGTGCCTAAAAAAGAGCTGAAGAGCCACTGCTGGTGTCGGCTTTCTACCTCGAGTCATTGAATGGATGATGTCAGGTACCCAGAGATCTATTGAAGACACCTTAGGCCTCCTTTTTTCTCAGCATTGTTTAAAAAAAAATGAAGACGCACAATGTGGCTCTATGCTGTGTCTATGTTAGGAGCCCAGTGGACAGTTTGTGTGGGAAGAGGCAGAAGAGGTACAGTATGTAGCCAGCTACCTAGAGAGAGGGCATCTGGCTCAGCTCACTGATAACTCCCCCACAGCCCAGAGAGCTGCTGTGAGTCAGGTGCTCATGCAAACACTACCATGGGAACCGGGAGAATGAGTAGAAAATAAGAAGAGAGAGAGAGAGAGAGAGAGAGAGAGAGAGAGAGAAGTGATAAGCTGCTTTTCTCCAGTGTATTTTTTGCTAGTTCTGCTTTTTCCTTCATAAAGCCCCTTTTCCTGACTCTCATGTGGGCACTGCCTCCATGTGACATCAGATTTTCAGCATGATTTCCATCCAGTCCTCCCTACAGATGTAGGAGAAAAAAGCAGTGTGTAATGCAGTTTTCTTCTGTAACTAAAGAGGACAACTGTCATAAATAGCAACAGCCTGGAAAAAAAAACTGAATAAAGAAAAAAAAGAAACAGACTAATTCACAACACTTTATGCTAAGTGGTTCCATGTATCTGTTGAACAGCCCAAAAGGTCAGCCAACTCAGCTGATTTAAAGGCTAACACGCCATCATTGTTTCCTCACAGTCAGCCAAAGGAACATTTTATGTTAGCTCAGTATTTGTTTTTGCTGTGAACTCATTAAAAATGACAGAACATAATGACTTGTGTGTAAATAGGATGCTGGAAACAGTACCTGTTTGGAGTCCAAGTTGTCGAAGTTCTCAAAGCTTTTAATGATTTTATTTGAAAAAGTGTCTTTAATGCGTTTTAATGGGCGTCTTAAAAACAGTTTATATCAAAATGAATATGCTTATATTCTTTAAATTTAGGAAACAGAAAACACAGAAGTACAGTACACACATGTTCACCTGATATACTTCTTACACAAATAATCTCATACCTATTGCTCCTTCAGAGATGACCAGGGCCCAATAAATATGTGCCTACATTTCTCAAGTGGCCCATAGCGAACCAAAAGGTGGCAGATATTACATACACAGCTTCAGAACAGACAATGATTTATTCATAGACACTATATGCACACTATTTGTTAACATTTCACAAGAACCTTCATCACATACTGTGTTTATGCAATGGTGTTAGGCAAAATAAACCTGTAAGCACATAGTATCATGGTGTGGTAGGCTATAGATGCACGGTCTAGGATATACATAGGAGAGGGTCTAGAGTGGTGGAAATGGGTGGCAGCTGCCACCTCTAAAAAACATAGCTGGTAAGGTCAGCTGGTAAATCCAGATTTTTTATTTTATTTTAATTTTTTCAAGTGTTACAAAAAGAAAATGTATTTAATGATCTGTTATGGTAAAATTTTAGAGTAAATAATAGGCTCAAGTTCAAAAAGACATATATTTGGAAAAATAAAATTTGTAAATATAACAATGTTAGATGTTTCTGTTCAAGGCTTTACTAATGTGCCACAATAATTGTATGTTTTTTAGTTAAAATCTTAATTTGGGGCTTTTCCAAGAAAACATTCATATACATGATTGTTTGCAATTAAATCCGCATATATTTCTGTCTCCATGCCACCCTTCTGACACTACATGAATATTTTTCTAGATCCATCCCTGGATATACACTGCTGCTGTCTGGTCTATCATGTGTTCTATCTGCACTATAACTGGCCATGAATAACATGCTACGTTTCAGAATTATTGCTACAATACTTTTAAACTTTTGAAAATATGTATGGTCATCCAAAAGCAGGAACCTGCGCTTCAATAATTTTTGCTACAAGTTCTTATTATATTCTGTTCATTTATTTACTTTATTCAGCCACAGGTTTGTAGGTTAAATGATTAAATACATAAAGTGTTTCATTAAATCCAAGTCTGATTCAGTTTCAAGCGTTAAGTCTAGAGCTCTGGCAGAAACATGTGATAAGAAATTATTGACAAACAATAAATATGCAACAGTCTGTCTGATGGCAGTGACACAGACATATGACATATTGTGAGCACCAGCCATGGCAGAATAGGGGTTGGAGATCAGATAATACACCTGGAGCTGTTTTCTTACCACTGATAGCTGCTTTCTGAATTACCTCCAGGTAAACCCTGTGCCCATACCCTACATTTATGGAATATAAATGTGTGTTTTGTGTGTGTTTGGATGTACTTATTTGTTCTGGCTCCATGTGATCTCCAAGTCATTTGTATAGCTGAGCCATATAACAAGGTTATCCCGCTCTACGCATTGAGTGTGACGGTCCTGTCCTCCTTCTGGTGTGCCAAAGAGGGTGGAGTTTTATCCTGGCACCACTCTGTCTGTCAGTCTGTTGGTACATCTGTCTGCTTGTCCTCGAGGACTGGTTGTCTGGAGGCGGCAGTGTGTACTGTTCCTCTATAACACACAACCCAGTATTTTATTTTATTTTGTGTCACTGGAGATGGCCATGGACCCCACACATGCTGCATGACCTGAATACTGCGCCAGGCAACTTTACACTATAGTGGCAGAGTGGCATGAATATACAGGCAGGTGTGTGTGTGTGTGTGTGTGTGTGTGTGTGTATTTATTTGTAGGGTAGGGGCATAGGG